TGGATTTTTACTTTCTGGACCTGAAATGTCCACCTCTGGTAAACTCTGCCACTTTGGACAACACAAGGGGCATTAATAAACAACTTTGCTATTTAGTGCACAAAATTTGAATTAACTAACAAGCACTCGGCACCTGTGATTAACCCCTTAAACGCCACTCAAACATAGACATTTCTTAGACCGTGGTATCGGTCCCCGGTATCGGGGGACTTTTAACGAGTACGAGTACTTTAGAAAATGTGGTATCGAGGCCGATACCAGATACCGGTATCGGTATCGGTGCATCCCTAATATTAATTATTATTATTATTAATTTCCCTTTGGGATGAATAAAGTATTTTTGAATTGAACTGGGATTTTAGTTCCTTCACCTTTCTCTTTCTCAGATCGCATTTCAGAGGGAAGTTAATGTCGTAGTTTTGATGAACAGTCCAAAAATGCCGCTCCACATTTTCCTTCTTTGGAATAGCAATGGTAGACTGACAGAAGAGGCAAACGCACTTCGAATATAACATGGTAGAAAAAAAACAGTCCTCCTCCCATTCCATATGGAAGTGGCAGGTTTTTGGCTTCTTACTTGGTCCAGCTCTCCCATTCATTTTTATACCCTTTCTTAAGTTTAGTAGAAATAAATTGGAGGCTAACTAGGGGACTCGGTAGCTTGCAGCAGCTGGCGCAGTTAAACGCGTTATCCATCCTCTATTTTTTATGCCATACGATCTACACATACTACCTTTGCAATCGACCAGTAGGTCGCGATCAACATATTGGGCTTAGACCATGTATACGTCGGAGTGGATCATGAAAACAATACTGGAACATGCGAGAAAATAAAAATCGGCATTTATCGATATTTATGCGGTCACATCGTTTGCTGTTGAATCAATATATCGATACAAATCGATGTATTGTTACACCCCTAATTCATGACATAATTATTATGCCTGAAAATCATGGGAAATCATTTTACTCAATTACCAATTACATCACGTACTAGCATTCACCCTAATAGTCACTATCTTTACAATCAGCCTGTTGGACACCCTGTCAGGTAGACCAACATTGACTAGCTAGCATTAGCTAGCTACTACACATCAAAGACTTTGTAAAACTATAATTTTCTGTAGTGGATATCCAGCAGATTTATTCAGGAAAAAACAGAACCAAATATTTGATAAAATATGCAGTTATGGTGTTTCGGCTTTGTACAGCGCCAAAGTTGCATAAAAAGAATATATTCGTTTATATAGTATAGTTTACTGGAGTGTAGTATAGTGTAGTGTAGTGCAGTATAGTGTAGTAGTGACATTAAACCTTACCACTTGCATCAATGCTAATGTCCTCCAGGTTCTTTCCACTGAATTCTCCAAGTCTTCCTGTCTCTAGTGCCATCAACACTTTGCTTATTTTAGCAAGTTGAAGAGTACCTTCGGGAAGACGGTAATCCTCTCGCTGAACTCTTATACTGTGGCCTAAAACGTCAGCCAACCGATCGATTTCTGTGTTGTTTAGGTTAAGGACATTGGACAGGGTTGCTACATATTTACGGTGCTTTGTTGATAAAAGAGCCTTTGGATTTTTTGCTCCACATTCAACAGCAAAATCTCGAAGACAGTCAGATCCTCTTAAATGAGACAATGCAGATGGACGTGCAAACATGTAAATGTTCTCGGATGGTACACCACACACTCCTCGCTTTTCCTTCAGAAGCTCCATACTCTTTTGCATTTCAGGTGTCAAAAGAACTGGAACCTTCCTTCCCTTTTTCCCTTTTATCTCAATCCATGTGAAATGGCGACAGAGTTTCTTTTCTAGCTCCGTAAAGGCAACATCTTCATGCAAATCAAAAGTGTTTCTGCAGACAAATGAGGTCAGCGGCATCTTTGAAACTTCACCTTCCCTCCTTCGATTGAACAGAACGACCTGAGATAAAGTAACCTTTGCAAGGCATGTCCAGTTCTTAGAAGTAGCGTTTGATGAAAGATCATTAAAGGTACTTTTCTGCTTGTTATCCAGAAACAAGTGCATCATTTTCACATCTTCTGTGAAGGGAATAACAAGGGGAGCGTTCCATTTGTCTTCTCTAAATGTTCTGAGTGTGTTAGCAGACAGAAGTTCACACCATCTTGTTGTATACATCTCATTGAAGTCACGAGCCTTATCTGCTTTTTCACTGTCCCGGTCCATCATTGCTTGAAAGCTCACCAGAAAGGCCATCTTCTGCAGGCTATGACCCAGCTTAACAGCAAGGGTTGGACGCTTAAATGTACATTTGTCATCATCATACCCACAGACCATCTTTACAGCAGTGACAACATGCAAAAAATTGGATGGGTCAACGAAGTCTTCCATTCTGCGCAATGGGGTAGCTTTTTTAGCTTGAATCAACAATCTTCCAACCTCTCTCATTTTCAGACGAACATACGCATGCTTCCCACTGTCGGCACCCAACTTGTTGTAAAAATACTCCCCCAACTTAATGATGTATGGGTCAGCTTTAATGGTCAACAGCAGCTCGTCATCATTCATGTTCCTTAAAATCTCATGCAGACCTGCACTAACTCCCTGCGCCGTAGGACCCATGCAGGCACCGGGAGAAAACATTTTGTCTGCTCCAGGTGTGGAGAGTTCATTTGTTCTAAGCTTGCACTGTTTCATGTGTCGCCATAAAAACTTCTTCGCAAAGAGCCCAAGACAATGCAGGCAGTGTATGAAGTCCCCGGAATTAGAATCCTTGCGTGGCTTTTTACACGGTACAAGATCACCTTGTCCTTTCTCCAAAATTTCAGCATTATATGCAAAATTACCCTTGTTTCTAAGATGTTCTAACAGGATTTTCCTTTCTTTTGAACCCTTCGGAAATGTCAAAGCTTTTGCAACGTCAGGCTCGTTGCTATGCACTTGCTCCAAATGCCTTGCAATTTTTGACAGGGGTCTGCAGCAAAAAAAGCAGTACTGCTTCTTGTCATACACTCGAGATCCACGAGATGTTTTTGAAATACCTTTGATTAAAATGTGACTGGAAGATTGATGTGCTTCTTCAGATTTACTGGCTTCCAGTGCATTGGAGGTTTCAGAGTAGATCCTCTTTTCTTTCTTCTTCCCTTTGGAGATGCCATGAGCCCAGGCACTTCCTTCTGAGGTACTTTCATCTGAGGAATTGGCCGCAGAATCTTCCTCACTATTTCCCACAATGCTGCAGACATCAGAGTCATTACAGAGAACGCCATCCTATGAAAACAAGCAGCAGAACAACTGCAGTTATCGAACTGCAGTTCTGAAATTATATATGACTTTCTTTTGTGCCATAAAAGTGAATTTCTGCATATCTGGTCAGAGTAATGCATTTATAACAGCTTATAACAGCTTATAACAGCTGTTGGGATGCCATTCCAAATTAAATCGGCACTCAGCACTCTTTCACCGTGTCGCCACATGAATTGAACTTGCGGAAACCGGATGGGGGATGGAAAACCTGCATGCTCACTTATGGAATCAGAAGGCTTTCCGCACACACTACCAAAGTGGACTGGACAGACGTCCCACCGACTGTCAGGTAGGAGCTTCTCCTCACCTGATGAACGTCTGTAGACCCCCGCCAGGAGGTCGGGCCACAGAGCTGGCCGCTGGCAGGCATCTCGCCTGAGCTCTGAGGCAGACTGTTGACTCCTATCTGCCCTTTAGAGACCTATAGTGGACATAGCAGCAAATAATACACTTTAGAAGTAACAGCTCAGCATAGTTTAATCTGAGACATGAAATCAAGAGTTTAATAAATATATCATTTTTCTCGATGTGACCATTCATATTGTCATCAGACTGGATATCGAGAGCAACGTGATAGCCCACAGATACAACATTGCTCAAGAGAAGTAAGAAATAGCTGAAGTATTTTTAACCCTGATCCCTGAATATACAAGTCAGTGCTTAGTATACACTGCCAGTCGAAAGTTTGGAATCACAAAGGGCCCTAAATGGGATTTTTCCTGCTTTGGTAAACAGCACAATGGCTTTCAGCTGCTCTAATACAATGGGAATAGCGAGTGACACTTGTGATTAATTATGGATTATGTAACAAAGGGTGCTGTCAACAGACTTGACCATTTGCTGTTTGAACTTGGGCTTTGCAGTCACGTCTGATAATGATTAGTTATTTGAAGCAGTAATTGTAATTTAAAGCAATAAAAATGTCAATTCAGTGATTGACAATGAATATCCAATTAACTATTGTACGCTACTAGCCCCAAAGTACTAGTCAAAGTTTGGTACAATTGAACATTCATAAATATTATTTTTTATTCATGAATACTTAAATACTATACTTCCCTCTAATCTAATCAGAACAATTTTACCCATCATAGTGTCTTTTTTGTTTCAGCATATTAATTTCATAGCATAATGTACTGTATATTGTAATACACATAGTATCAAAATCTCAGAAAATATTGAAATATTATCTCTAGGCTACACTCACCACCTAGGCCCCAGCCCAAAATAAAACACAAAGATTTTTATTAACATTTCGATTAATCCCTAACATTTTTAGTCATGTGCAGAAACCGCACAACACGTTCAATTCATGTGCATTTATAGTGTTGATTTGAGGAGATGAGGAACCTTTTACTTGATGAAAGATTCAGAACAGCAGCAAAGTACAATGTGGCAGCAGACTGACAACTGTCCAAGTTACAGTATATAAAAGAGAAAAATAACGTAAACGATATTCTTACTTTTTCTCTCCAAGGACAGTCAGCGTCTCCATAAGTGTAGGTCAGCTCTTCGCCGGGGATTATGTCTCTCATGGCAAAAATGCATAAATGGGGCTGCCTGCCCACAATGATTCTCTTGATTATACAGTTGGGGTTCAGATGGTCGTCATTAAACAGCCTCCCAAAAGATCCATCGTCAAGGGCTGCGTCGATGCTGAATTACAAAACAATGACAAAAAAGGCATGCACCATAAATGCTAATGTCCAAAAAATATTAGCAACTATTTATCTAGACTACACAAGCTTTCATGTCCACAATGCCTCATAGAAACATCAGCTAACTAGCGTGCAGGTCTGTTTAACAGCATTTAATTTAATTCATTACAATTATTTTATTATAATTAAGGTTAAATAATGTTATTCAGTATGAATATATGTGCAGAACAAGTACAGTCACAAATAAAAAAATATATATATTTAGGGAGAAGCAGGGCTGGGCAATTAATCAAACTGTAATTTAATTAAAATTCTGGCTTCCAGAGGTTATCAAAACAAAATAAACTTGTGCCTAATTTTGTTTCACAGTGATGCTCCCGTTTTGTCGTGTTATCAATCCAGTGAACCTCTTTCTACTTCCTTTTTATTTGTTTCTCAGCTGAATTATGTTTAGAGTTCAAGGAAATCCTACTTTTTAAAAGTTTTTTCAAGAAATGAATGATAAATCCAAACTCTATGAGGAATCGTGTTAAATTACGGTGATCTCAATATTAACCCAAATAATCGTGATTATTGTTTATTTACAAAATTAAGCATCCCTAGAAGGGAGGGACAATGTCATGAATCTGTATCAAGATGTGCGACAATAGCAATAAAAATGTTTAAATTACTCACGTCCAACATTTTCCTTGCCAGATGAAGTCAATCATAAATCCTTTAAGAGCATCATGGTAAATCCGCCGTCTTCTCTGAGCTTCTTCAAAGTTGATCAGGTCTCCTCTATACTCGACTATAAACTCGCCTTCTTCGAAGGCGGACACCGCAAATACTCCCCTGCCTTAAATCAAAGCGCCAAACTCAGCTTACAGAAAAAGAAAACAAAATCGTAATCACATGATTACAACATAAAAATAAATAAATGCAGTTTGCTCACCTTTAAAAGTGTCTATGTATCGCACTTCGAGCCCCACCTCGTCCTCAAGGCGGCTGATGTGCCAAGCAGCGTCGGTCTCCGGACATCTCCTCATCCGCCTCGCTCTAAAAGGCAAAGTGTTGTCTATTCATTTCTCCAAACTTTAAGATTAAAGACATGACTACTGAAGGCAGATTTGATCAGTTTTTTTCTGGACCATCGAGAAACGTTTGGTGGTTTGTGTCTGCCTGTAAATGTATCACTAGTAAGGATTCTCCAGAGTCTCCGGTTCTGATAAATACAGAATTGTTATTAGGCTGCCTGAACTATGCAGTTAATCAATTCCGACCATCTGTAGTCATGACGTCATTTGAACATGTCATCCTCTCCTATCTGAAATCCCATATCACCCCTCTGATGGAAACTTACCAGTCTGCTTATCGAGCCGACAGCGTCCCCCGCAGACCTGGTATCTTAGCCCCCCACCACACACTACAGCACCTAGAGTCACCTAGAGTCACCTAGTCACGCCGGTGTCCTACTCATCGACTTCAGCTCAGCCTTCAGTACAATAAACCTAGTCTGTCCAATAACTTATGGGTGATCCCTGCCAATGCAGGTTAGGAAGCCCTGCTCTAATGAAGCATCAGCTCTGACCACATTACCAAGAGAAGCCCAGCGGAGACCGTTTCCTAATTCTTAGTTAAACAAAAGTTTTCTACTTCAGTTCTAAAGTGGCACCACTGAGAGCATCGCTGAGAGCATCGCTGAGAGCATCGCTGAGAGCATCGCTTAGAGCATCGCTGAGAGCATCGCTGAGAGCATCCTCATCTCGTCCAAAACTGTCTGGTATGGTACATTGGACAATTACACATGCAAGAAACTCCAACACAGTCAATAAATCATTCAGGATTACTGGCACCCCCCCCCCCGCCCATCAGAATCACTATATCAGAAATGCATAATCAAAAGCAAGAAAATATCTAAAAAAAAATCTGACCGCTCTCATTCTGCTTCCCATGTCTTCCAGCTGATGCCCCCTAGGGGGCGCTACAGGTCCCCGCCCACTAAAAAAAAACCCATTTTAAGAAGTCCCCCCCTCCACTGTAATAAGGACTCTAAACACTTTAACCCCACCAGAGGTACTTGGTATCAAAACAGCAATGCTAACCCGCCCCCCCCTTAACGGTGTTAATTTAATGTATTTTGCTCGTACATTGGGGCACCACAAGGAATTTCACTTTGTTCCAGACAGCGAGTGCTGTGCTGTCCTGGCACGTGACGTGACAGAATATTTATTTCAAACACGCAGCTCCCCAGACTAGAAGCAGCTCTCACTGTAAATACGGTTGAATTATTGTCTCATGGGGAAGGTTAGGAAACGCTGTTACTTGGTTCATTTAGTTTTATGAGTATTTCAGAGTGAAGTTGGTTTACTGAGTACTTGAAACTGTGAAAGAAACAGAGAAATTACTGTGAGTCAGTCGGAGCCTCTTGTTTGAAGCTGAATGGGGGACCCATTGAATGGTCAGTGCTCATAGACATACAGCTGGCTGCAAGCAAAGGTCCTCTTTCCTCCTGGAAACTGCAAAATCAGAGATACTGTAAGTTTAGTTACAATGTACACAAATGCACTTAATTGTCCTGTCAGAACAAAGATCACCATGTGTCTGGATACCAGGTACCCACACAATACCATTTTAAACACAGAACCGAAACCACAGACAACAATGAGTGTCAGACTTGAAGCCACAAGACCAATAAGTATTGTAGACTAAAGCGTAAGATGCTTTGGGGATATAAACTGACTGAGAAATGTTTTGATACATTGCCTGTTTCTCCAGATAAACTAAAACCTATTTATTTCAACAGAAGATTCATATAAACCCCACAACTGTAAAACATGAAAACTGATAGTGTGCTTGGACACTTTTAGATGTTTATTTTTTATTTATTTTTTAAAACTTGACTCATTCTAAAAATGTTTATTGAAAACTCGAGAAAACTGACAGGCAGATACACTCTCCCTACCTGTCCTGCAGGTCCAGCGTCTCATCGGGATCCCCTGTCACAGGATCAGTAACGTCCTGCTCTGTGGCCTCCGGGAAACTCATATTTAGCCTCTTTTAGTCCGTTCAGTCTGCCTACAAACATTGAAACACTCTGTAACGTCTAAACATGCGTTGCCAACAATTCGATGCATTAAAGAAACACAAGAAGCAAATACTGATGCGATGCGATATGACTCACGCCTATTGCGATGCAAGGCGACTGAACACGATTTGATTTAATACAATGCGATTCAACGCGATACGATGCAAGCATCGCCGGACACGCCTCCAACTGACGCGAGACTTCGCCGCGAGACTTCGCGAGAATTCGCCGCGACAGTGTGGAGGACTGGAGATAAGAGAGTGCGCTTTTGGAGCAGTTTAGAGATGGGAGTCAATCCAAATATAAAATTACTGGTCAAAATTTATTGGTCGCATTTCTGAATAGTAAAGGCATGAGGCTTGAACTAATAATTCTTTTTTAATAAATCGATTTTACCGATGCAAAAATGTTAGGAACGATGCATCCCGAGTTCATCCTAAACTGCATCCGGTGCACACGTTTTTATTTTGGTCAATCGTACCGTGAACTTTCATGCCGGTGCACCGACGTGAAGAGATGAATCTTTACCATACCTACGTTACATGCGATTTGCTTCTGTCCATCTACCTCTGGTTAATTCCAGAAGAAAGAAAAACGTATATTTGAACTTTCAGATTAAAGACTTTTGTTTTACCCAACGCTGTTTATTCAAATCTGTTTGCTCTATAACTCATTTAATAGTTTCATTTAAATCTTTTTCTATATTTACAATAAAATATTTTACAGGCGAGATAGAATTTTAAAAGCTAATGGCAGTCTATTTTAACCCATGAGACCAGGGACTTGCCAACAAAATGACTTACAAGAAATAATTCAACCATGACAACAAAACGTTTTCAATGCAGCATACTGTCCGTTTAACACGTATGTTTTCTATTATCTCGGGAACAAAAGATATACATCATACCTAGCTCTAGAAATCAACGTATAACACATGCGCTTACATGCAAAATAATGTTAATTAACTTATACTTACTTTGCCTACGTGTTTTTTATTTCAGTCGTACTCGTTTTTTTCCAACAATTTCAAGGTGATAGACGGTGTTGTAGTTAACTCTTGGGTTTCGATTTTGACAAAAGATATACTACAGAATTACGGAAATCCTGATTGTCATACTTTTCTTTATGGCACAATCGTAAAAAACAAAACACTGGAAAATATATTCCTTGCTGTTCTATTTTAATCTATTATGTGAATAGAAGAGCATGTACGTTAATGTGGAGGAAAATGTAGTGAGTGTGCCGTTCATTTTTGTACTGCTGAGGTTACACACCGAGGACTGTTGTCAGAATAACTTTACTTGGGAGGTGCCACGTCATACAACTTCCGGTTTTGCGTCTCTGGCTTATTACGTTACTCTGCCATCTAGTGGTGTGAACTGTACACAGCCGCACATCACAGAGCGTCGCCCTCATTTAAGCTCTGAACTTAAAGGTGGTTATCGCCATTACAACTTAAATTTCTGTCCTTTCTTACGAAATAGTAAAACGTGAATTATTTTGTATCTTCCACAAACTTTCCAACTTTAACCAAATGGCTTTACCATTTTGAGTCTGTATACCATATATACATTTCAACCCATATATAGATTTTTGAAACTTTCTTAAATTTCTTTACATTTCTCCAGTTAATGTCTTTGAACATAGTCTGTGTTTTGTCACTATCCCTGTTCTTGTATGTCTCTGGTAAGATATGAATGTCTGTCATTTCTGGTTGTCAGGTCAGGTCAAATTTGTTATTCTGCCAGGAGGAAAACTTATTTGCACAAGGTGGTTAAAACATAAACAATCCACCACAAATACAACATGAACAACATACCAGATCACAACCAGCTAGATCACAAGGACAAAATTACAGTACAGCGCAGTGCAGGATCACTCCGTGCGAAGATCCATAATGAGCCAAGCTGCATGGCTGGAAGTTGGCTTCGTCATTTGTATGAATTTAACCTACTAACTGCAGCACTAAGAAACGAATCTGTAAATCTTTTATTACTCTTGTATCTGTACTGCCTGAAGGGACAAACACAAGTTTCAGTACAATCCGATATTCACCTCCATGACTTCACTGGTCACTCTCTCTCACCTCCATGACTTCACTGGTCACTCTCTCTCTCTGTTGTTCCATTTGACCCATATGTGTCAGCTACTGCTTGGTGCTGACCCGGATTTAATCCAAATGTCAGATCATACTGGGGGTGCCCATCGCCTATTAATCATGCGGGTACTGGGGGTGCCCATCGCCTATTAATCATGCGGGTACTGGGGGTGCCCATCGCCTATTACTCATGCGGGTACTGGGGGTGCCCATCGCCTATTAATCATAAGGTCCTTTGTCGGGCTTTCCTGTCCTCTGGCATTGGCAGTTCTGCGGTTGCCCAGATTTTCTCAGGATCTGGTTGCAGCCCTGCAAACCATGTTGTATTCTGACCCTCCCGGACCAGTACGGAACCGTACTCTACGATAACCCAGCAGTTCACCCATTGTGTGGGTTCCTCTGTTCTGCTAATTAATCTCTACTCAACCAGAGAATCAATTTACTTTCTCAGTGCAGCCGCTACATGTCCTGCTGGGTGTTTGACTGGTTCTGCATTTTACTTCAGCCCGAATCTAAGTAGCCTTTTTATTCTCATTTTGTCCACTAGATGTCAGTTTCTCCCTGTTTATGTCATGGACTCTTTTCATTAGTCCTGGCTGTTGCTTTCGACCTCAGTACGGCTTGTCTGTTTTCCCAGTACAAGCATTCACTTTTTGTCCTTTGCTAGACAGGATTCTAGTTCATATATTTGGTATCGATCTTATGATGATAGTGGGTAGGCGTATGAGTGTGTGCCCTGCACTGGACTGGTCGTGCACCATAGCTGTTCACTGCCTTATGTACGTCCTGGGGTGGGATCACATTTAGAAGGTCCTCTTGTCCAAAGAGAAAAGCTTTGTTTACTATGTCTAATCATTCTTTATGGCAGCGCTGTGGTTGGTGCTGTTGCCTCACACCTCTGGACTGTGAGTGGAGGTTACATGTTCTCTGGGCTGTGAGTGGAGGTTACATGTTCTCTGGGCTGTGAGTGGAGGTTACATGTTCTCTGGGCTGTGAGTGGAGGTTACAT